TGCAGTGAGTGTGTTGCTCAGGTAGTGTGTGTAATAGGAGGTGTGGGGAGCTGCAGTGAGCATGCTGCTCAGGTAGTGTGGGTTATAGGAGGTGTGCGGAGCTGCAGTGAGTGTGCTGCTCAGGTAGTGTGTGTAATAGGAGGTGTGGGATGCTGCAGTGAGCATGCTGCTCAAGTAGTGTGGGTTATAGGAGGTGTGGGGAGCTGCAGTGAGTGTGCTGCTCAGGTAGTGTGGGTTATAGGAGGTGTGGGGAGCTGCAGTGAGTGTGCTGCTCAGGTAGTGTGGGTTATAGGAGGTGTGGGGAGCTGCAGTGAGTGTGTTGCTCAGGTAGTGTGGGTTATAGGAGGTGTGGGGAGCTGCAGTGAGCGTGCTGCTCAGGTAGTGTGGGTTATAGGAGGTGTGGGGAGCTGCAGTGAGCGTGCTGCTCAGGTAGTGTGTGTTATAGGAGGCATGGGGAGCTGCAGTGAGCGTGCTGCTCAGGTAGTGTGTGTTATAGGAGGTGGGGGAGCTACAGTGAGTGTGCTGCTCAGGTAGTGTGTGTTATAGGAGGTGTGAGGAGCTGCAGTGAATGTGCTGGTCAGGTAGTGTTGGTTATAGGAGGTGTGAGGAGCTGCAGTGAGAGTGTTGCACAGGTAGTTTGGGTTATAGGAGGTGTGGGGAACTGCAGTGAGCGTGCTGCTCAGGCAGTGTGGGTTATAGGAGGTGTGGGGAGCTGCAGTGAGCGTGGTGCTCAGGTAGTGTGTGTTATAGGAGGTGTGAGGAGCTGCATTGAGTGTGCTCCTCAGGTAGTGTGGGTTATAGGAGGTGTGAGGAGCTGCAGTGAGAGTGTTGCACAGGTAGTGTGTGTTATAGGAGGTGTGGGGAGCTGCAGTGAGTGTGCTGCTCTGGTAGTGTATGTTATAGGAGGTGTTGGGAGCTGCAGTGAGGGGGCTGCTCAGGTAGTGTGTGTTATAGGAGGTGTGGGGAGCTGCAGTGAGGGGGCTGCTCAGGTAGTGTGGGTTATAGGAGGTGTGAGGAGCTGCAGTGAGTGTGCTCCTCAGGTAGTGTGTGTTATAGGAGGTGGGCGGAGCTGCAGTGAGTGTGCTGCTCAGGCATTGTGGGTTATAGGAGGTGTGGGGAGCTGCAGTGAGCGTGCTGCTCAGGTAGTATGTGTTATAGGAGGTGTAGGGAGCTGCAGTGAGTGTGCTGCTCAGGTAGTGTGTGTTATAGGAGGTTTGGGGAGCTGCAGTAAGCGTGCTGCTCAGGTAAGGCATGGGTTGTAAATAATTATTGACAAAATTAAATGTTATGTAAAGAGATAAATAATTTCACCATAGTTATATATTAATGCTACACATTTTCAGATTACATTACGAAGCTTGAATAGAAGAAATGAACTTGACAAAGGTGATTGCAAAAGATTCTACCCTTAAAAAAATATAAGTAAACATCCATGGAGGTCACGTCCCACCAGCAGGTCTTCGTTACATTACAGATCATGTCCCTTGAGTTGACGAAGTGGGTAAATGTATTTAGAGCAAACGTTGTGCACATGTTTGGCCGTTTGCCTACTTTGCCACTGATTGCCCCCACTGGAGGATATGCTGTCCATGTGAATGAAGATCATTGCTCACTGCTTACTTAGAAACTCTCTCAGGTTAAGCTGAATTGGGGCCCAATGAAACCTTCTTGATCGGGCATCAATAATCCCATCCTAAGCGGGTCTGGTGCAGTTTAATGCCTGGTAAGGTATAGATCACTAAGTCACTAATTCCTTGAATCGCTTCAAGTTGTTTTTAATTAATGTTAATGACATCATCAAATTTTGTAAACAAAACAACTTTACAGCATGTTAGCAGATAGCATTTCTGGGCAACGAGTAGTTCTAGGGCTCGAAATCCCCTCTAATAAATTCTATTCCCATTTGAAGATTACAGCGTATACATGAGTTATAACTCATAACGTGTTTGTATATCTGTACATGAATCACAAAAGCACTTCTCTCAATCTCCTACAGACAATTACAGTTTGATCACTAGAAGCCATGAAACTCTCCCCACAATGCTCAGTTGCTGCGGACCTTCACTGGACTACGACTATCCCTGGGGGCTGCGAATACTCCATGTATGTCATTCCAAGGATGAATTCTCACTCCTTTAGTAGTTAGCCAGCCATTAGACTTGTGCCCCTGTTAGCAAATCAAGATTTGTCAGAATTTCTGAATTCTGAATCGCCGTAGAACTGAATAACAATGTGGGGCAGACACTTACAGGACTATTTACTAAAATTGATACCGGAGAAACTGACGGAAGCAAAGCACAGAGGGATGGACACAGGTTTCTTCAGGAAGGAAGAGATTCTTTATTGGATCACCGATCGGGACTCCAGAGGGACTAATGTCACCAAAAAATACAGCAAAAGTTCTGAGCCACAGACAATAGTGCAGGCTCCCTATATAGGCACATAACTCACTCCCATATTAGCTCCACCCGCACATTCTCTCTTGACCAATCGTACAAATAAGAATTAACTTCCTGCTTGACGCGCTTGGCTTGTCCAGCACAATGGAGAATACTACAATACCATATTCTTTTTATGCTCCATTACACTACTGATGCATTATCTTGCCTAGAGTGCAACCAACTGATCGTCGTCAGCATATGCAACGTACACATGCCGTAGTAATCTACGGCCTACTAAATTTATTTTACGAGATTCCACCACATTCCCCTTTGATACCTCTTGATATTTACAATTACTTGAGGCATCACTTAACCTTGGTTTGCATACACCACAAGTTACCTTTGAACCAGACCAGACTTATCCTATGATGTGAATCTTCAACACTCGTCTTCCCGCATTGGTTCTCCCTGATCTAGAGCCTTATATTTATAAATTGCCATTATCTGTGCAGCAGCCTTCCTCTCTGCTATATTTTCTATCAGGCTTTGCACAGGCCTAACTACTAAGGGTATAAGACACGGCAGGAGTAGACACAACATTAAAATCAGTAGGACTCCACCTACCACTGCCTTAAGCCCTCCAAACCACTCATACCAGCTACCAAACCAACTACTTGGATTGTACCCTTTCCATACCTGGGTAGGCACATGCGCTAGTTTAACCATATGGCTAGTAAGCTCAGCTATTGCTTGCCCTTCGTCATCTATTTGAAGACAGCAATTGCTCAGGTTAAACTTCCCACATACACCTCCCTCTACTGCCAAGAGATAATCCAAGGCTAATCTATTTTGGTAAACT